TTGAAAAATAAATATCATTTCATTGCTCATATCTCCTGGATAAAGTGGCAAGAAGAAAAAAAAACAAAGAAAACAAACATAAGGAGAAGACCCAGGGTCTTGCAGAATGTTTAATAACCTGGGTTAAGCGGGCCACTTGAGTCTTGGAACACAATCAGGCCTCCAACCTTTGGGGCAACAGCCCTTCCCTCCTCCTTCTCCTCCTCCTCTTCTTTTCCATCCGCCCTGATCAGCATGCTGAGGGAGCCAGACAGCAACACACCTTCATGTGGTCTGTTGAGCACAAAGCTCACAGTTACTGTAACCAAATGCCCTAATGCCTGCTTCCAATAAATGCCTGCACCATCGCTCAAAAGGAAGAGCCAGGAGCTTCTCCCAGCTCCATTCCTCCGCCTCAGCCCCTACACACCAAAACCTTAAGAAGCGGTAGGGAAAAAACATCATCCTTCAATAAAAGATGAACCTTTACATCAATATATAATGTGTTTACTATGAAAATAATTTAAATTATTTCCTTAGTTGATTTTTTTCTATTATCAAGCCACTCCTTCACATCACTCAGTTCAGTTCAGTCGCTCAGTCATGTCCAACTCTTTGCGACCCCATGAACGGCAGCACGCCAGGCCTTCCTGTCCATCACCAACTCCCAGTTTACTCAAACTCATGTCCATTGAGTCAGTGATGCCATCCAGCCATCTCATCCTCTGTCATCCCCTTCTCCTCCTGCCCTCAACCTTTCCCAGCATCAGGGTCTTTTCCAATGAGTCAACTCTTCGCATGAGGTGGCCAAAGTATTGGAGTTTCAGCTTCAGCGTCAGTCCTTCCAATGAACACCCAGGACTGATCTCCTTTAGGATGGACTGGTTGGATCTCCTTGCAGTCCAAGGGACTCTCAAGAGTCTTCTCCAACACCACAGTTCAAAAGCATCAATTTTTCGGCGTTTAGCTTTCCTCACAGTCCAACTCTCACATCCATTCACATCATTAACCCCAAGTAAATAAGAAATTGGGATTGGAGCATTTTCACTAATGGAACATCAGTTGATTCCATGGTGCTCTTGTGATAGTGAGTCATTCATTCAACAGTGCTGAATGCCTACTATGTGTCAAAGGTTATTACACTTTACATTTTACTCATCTGTTAGATGTTTCAAGGGCAGAGACATGTACTCCCAGTTCTAAGCACTGTGACTATTACAGACATGAAGAGATGTACAAAACACCTTCAATGATCGGGTCAACAAAATCCTCACGGGATGTGTTGATGAGAAGCACACATACCAGCCAAAGTGCACATGCATTCTCCTCAAGGCCACTAATGGCACCACAACAAGGATCCAGCTTAACTTTCTCTAAAATCAATGAAGCCTGAATATAGGTATGCCTTTCATGGGTTTTATTCAATTATTCATCAGTAGCTTTTATTGAATATCTATTTATGGCAACCCACTCCAGTATTTCTGCCTGAGAAATCCCATGGATAGAGGAGCCTGGTGCGCTACAGTCCATGAGGTTGCAAATGAGTTGGATATAACTGAACAATTAAACCACTACCACCACCTGGAGACATAACACTGAGAAAGAGAGGTATAGCCGGACCCTTGTAGAGCTCACAGTCCAGGTAGAAGAGCAAGCATCTAGCTAAACATTGCCCAGAAAAAGCAGTAGAGGCTGTGAAAGTAAAACACAGGTGCTCTAATTCAACAGAGACAGGAAAATGGAAATAACAGGTTTGCACAAACAATCATTTGTGTGGTGAAAGAGAAAATGGTACTGGGGGACTGAAGAGGTGAGGAAGAGTTATCTAGTTCAAAAACAATGTGGCATTTATACAAAAAGGAAGACCACAGGCTTGGGGAGAGAAAGAGAACATGAAGAAAACTGTCTAGAAAGCAGCAGAGAGCTCAGCTGGAAGGTTCTGCGGTGAACTTCTGTGTGAGAGCAGTAAAGGGGCCTCAGAGCACTTAGAACCTATTCCCCACACACGCCCACACCTGGGAATACTATGAGACAGCAGGGCAAACACAGCATAAGTCACCGAGTATGGAGGCTCTGAGCGGCTTCTGGGAAACTGGGAGCCATGAATCACTTGCCACTCTGCCTGTAGCTTGCACCAGGCCAAGGGGTGAAAGAAAGTGACCTCATATAGCTTTCAAAGCCTGGCTCTCTTTATTATTTGGAGATTTACCCCTTGCCCCACAGGAAGGCCAAAACCACCCAAAAGGATATTACCCCAGAAGAATCACTGGGCCACAGGATATAAATATTTTGGAGGTTTGTGAAACATTTTCTCCATTTCATTTTGACTTCTTATGTTACTACAAATACCTGTGCAATAGAATTTAGTGTAACATTTTAAATAAAAAAGATCCACTATGCCTACAAAAGAGCTGCCCTTTTTGAATTTGTTAACAATATTTTTAGAGACTACAGTCTGATTTCCATAGCTATGTCAGTATTTTTTAAACTTCTACTTGCTAACTAGAACATTTTAAAAACTGATACTAGCCAACATTAACATTCCTCATCCTTTCATAAGATCATGACAGTAAAAAAATAATGACTTTTCACTAATATTGATTAAAAAGTATTTTGGTCACCTAAACCAGTGTTGAAAAATAAGGTCTTTGATTCTTAAAGTACATGCTATCCTCCCCTAAAAAAAGAATAATAATGGTAGCTTAGTAATGTTTGTTATTGAACTTAAATTATTTTTGCCCTTTATTTATTTCATAGAAATAATTATTCCTTCTTTTAAAGTAAATCATTCATCAACAATTAAAATTACTCAACTGCTAGATATTCTGTGAATTACTTGTGCCAAAGAGGAAACAAAGTTCAGAAACTATCCTCAAGAAAGTGACCATCTAGTAAAGAGAACCAGGCACGCAAGCAATTGTGTTTAATTTGTTAGTCTATGTAAAGAAGTGTGTCCAAAGAACAAAGAGAACGTTAAGAAAGGAACATCTAAGTGCATCTGGGAAATTCAGAAAGGGCTTATAGAGGAAGTAACTCTTAAGCTAAAACTTAAAGGACTTAAAGAGAGATGGACAGGCGGATTGAAGGAAGGTTTTTCTAGGCAGAGGACATTTCAGGGAGGTCAGTGAGGACAGAATGCACAGAGGGTACACCAGGAGACTGGGAAGGCCGTGTGTAAGCTTGCCTGTCATGCTCGGGAGTTTGCCTTCTCTCACGCTGGCACAGAATCCATGATTTCTGAAAATTGAAGGGACATGATCCAATTTAGGTTTCCTATATATATGAAATGGGGGTAGACTGGAATAAGATTATAAAAAGAGTGAGTAGTTAAAAAATAATAGTCCGGATGAGAAGTTATACATCCTGAAATAAGACAATACTGGTGGGAATCAACAGAGAGGTATACCACAAATGGTATTAAGGAAATAGAAGCTAAGGGACCTGAAAATTGACTGGATATTGAGAGCAAGAGAAGACAGAATGTAAAACGTGATTTCCAGATCTCTGGCAAGTAAATTTAGAGTTGTGCCATGCTATGACGTCAGGAACAGAGAGGGAGCAGACAGGAAAAGGAAGATAAGTTTTGGCTGAACACTGTAATGATCAGGCTAGATTAAAATAAACTATAGTAACTGACAACCCCCAAATATTAGTGATTGAAATAATAAGGAAAAAACTTTCTTTTATGCTACATGTCTATTGTGCTTCAACAGACCTCCCTCTGGGGTACAGACTGACAGATACCCTGCCGTCTGGAACACTACTTGATGCAAGAGCAGGAAAAAGGTGTGCTAAGGATTCACACCCTGACAGTTAAATACTTTGACCCAGAAATGGGACACATCACTTCCAGTCACAATCTATCGGCTAGAAGTAGACATATGACTGTGCCTAACTTCAAGAGGGAAGAGAAGTTGCAAACGTCCTGATGTAGACCAAAATAGTCCAGTAATAGAGGAGCACTAGATATCTGTGGTCATCAGTCATGTCCATCAGGGACATGTTAGGTCTGAAGCACCAGGAAGACAACTTAAGTATGCCATCTAGAAGGCCATCCTATATGCAGGCTAGAGCTCAGGAAAAGTATCAGGGTGGGAGACACTGACCAAGGAGCTACAAGAATAAACGTGAAAATTCTAGTTCTCAGGGCATCTATGTGAAAATGAATTTCCAAGGTTAACTGGTTCACCCACAGTTACAGAGCAGCATGAATATGGTGGCACCAGGTCTCCAGGAGTCTAACTTCAAACTCAACATTCTTTCAGAAGATGCCTCTAGTGAAATGTCTTATTTGGATAGACTCTGTTCAGCAGCAATTATCTGTTCAAGAAAGATGGCAGTATCTCAATTTTATCAGCAGGTCCAAAAAATCACGCGAGGTTTGTCCATTCTCTCAGAAAGCCTAGGTAAATTTTGGTGGCACTCACTCACACTTGCACAATGCCTTCATTTTTTTTTTTTTTAACATAAAGATTTATCCTGTGTGTCTGCTCTTTGTAGTGTCAGAGTTACTTTTCTAAACTTGTGTGTCATGCATGCTAAGTTGCTTCAGTTGTGCCCAACTCTTTGTGACCCTATGGACCACAGTCCACCAGGCTCCTCTGTCTATGGGGTTCTCCAGCATGAATACGGGAGTGGGTTGCCATGCCTTCCTTGAGGGGCTCTTCCAGACCCAGGGATCAAACCTGTGTCTCTTACATCTCCTGCACTGGCAGGCAGGTTCTTTACCACTAGCACCACCTGGGAAGCCCTATGTGTCACGGTCTCCTATTTTAAATCAGAACTAAAATTTATACTAGAGATTTATAGTAGAAATTTATACTAGAGAAGAAGTCTACAAACTTTTTTTGCTAACCAAATGGGCATAGCTGTATTCCAATAAAATCTGACTTATAAAAACAGCCAGCTAGCCATATTTGGCCCACAAGCTACAGTTTGAAAACCTCTTCATTAAAGGACAAACTTAATTAATAACAATACTACATAGAAGTATATTATGAAGAAATAAGTAATTAGGGACTTCCTTGGTGGTCCAGTGGTTAGGACTTTGCACTTCCACTGCAGGGGTCACAGGTTCAATCACTGGTCAGGGAACTAGGTTCTCACGTGCCTCACAGCATGGCCAAAAAAAAAAAAATCACTAATTTGGAAATTAGTATTGTACAAGATGGAACTCTGGAGACTACAAGGACAAACATTCTCTTAAATTACATTTATAACGCTGGAACCATGGATTTTTGTGCGGCACTTGTAAAGCCCTCCACAGTCCAGCCTCAAAGCTCTATACTTAAAAACTGAGCGTGTTTTTAAGCTGCTACCTCTTACCTCCGTCTTTCCATACCATTTCTGTGATGCTAGGGCTGGGGCTCTGTGAACTATGCTTCCACTTGTTAGCTGCTATCTCTTAGACTATGCCCAAAGAGTGCACCAGATGGAACCTACATGCTGGAAGAGGGAGGTGTGGGTTGTTCCTTCCTGCCTATTACCTATTGGCTTCCTGTTCCTGTGGCTGGCCTAGGCCTGCTTCTTCACTCCAGAAGCTACACTTCCTTTCTGTGGTGGCTGCTGACTGAAACCAGTTAGCAGTCTTTCTGGAACCATTGTGTTCCTCATGGGCCACCGTTCTATCCTGTCTCCTCCTCAGGTCCAGGTCCCAGCCCTCCACCCCTCACCTGAGCTCAGAGACTCCATAATACCAACGAGGCAGGACCATCTCTCAGAAGTCTGGTTACTGGGCCCTCAGCTTCCTTCTGAGCTCAGAGGCCTTAGCACCAGCCATTATCTCGAAGATGGGAGTTTGGTCCCACAGGGCCCCTCCACCAAGCTTCCAAATTTTAATGATCCCAACCCCAGGAGTGGCAAATGCCTCCTGTGGTTGCTACTTCCACGATGCCTCAGTGTCATCTTCTTGCCTTTTCAGTTCTTCAATATCTGGTTGATAATTTTTTGTATTAAATTCTCTCTGTTAAAATATTTAGCGTAGTTTCTGTCTCCTGACTCAACCCTGATACAAACACAGTCCAGCAATTTCAAAATAACTCTAATCTTCAATTTTGTTTCTTAAGCACTATGAAGTAGACACATAATTCTGAACTTTCCTTAAAATCCCATCTGCTGCTCTCAAATACTACAGCTGCTCCCATTCCTGACTCCTCGAGAGTCTCCTCTCCCCCTGAAATTCCTTCCACCCTTAGCTTCTCCTCTGTCCTCTTTTGTCTTCCTCCCCAGTTTCTTTCCTCCTAATTGCCCCTCACAAAATCCCAAGAACCAGTCTGCCAAAAAGAATGAGTCTCAGAAAGTGACAGAACTGAGGCACTTGGGCTCCTTTCCTCATGTCAGAGGTACAAACGGAAATGCCCACCATGGGAAGGAGGGACAAAGGATTCTCGGTGGTCACACGTAAGAACTCCAGGACTCCAACCTCATCACTGTGTATGCGCAGTTTTGAAACTACACTCAGCCTCAAAGTCAGGGACAATTGGAAGCTGTGGGGTCAGTAGGAACTGCAAAGTATATACCTTTCAAGATTTTTTTATGAGAAAGTTCTGAATTTTTCAATGCTGGCTCTTTACCATTCTGTGCAGATTAAATGAAACGCCTAATCCTGCCTGCATGCCCTGTTTGCTACCACTGCACTATGCTAGCCCCAAATGCATTAGGCATATTTCATTTTTGTCAAACATTTGATGATCAAAACTATTTTTAAAAGTTACATACAGAGCTCTGAGTTATGACAGCAAACCAAAAATAGGATTCTTTTCCTTGTTACTTTCGGAGTTATCACCAAAATGAAAGAAAGCAAGCGACAAAGAGGTGGTAACAAAAGATACTACTTAACTTAAACCCTCAGAAAATCTGGGATTCAACTTTAAAAAAATTAACAGAATAAAACAGCTCTCTAAAACAACACTTCCAAAGTTTATTTTAGAAGGTGGTAGTGCTATATTATTTTTTAAGTAATATTTACTGAACAGTTTGTTCTAGAGTTCTACATGACACAAATAGAGTAGGCCTGGTATACACATGCCAAAATGGTGACAATGAAATTAGGGCTTGATCCAGTGGTAAATTACTGTCTGCTCATCTCAACAACACCTAAGGCTCCGAAATGGAGAAGGCATCATTTGAGTAAACCGTCCACTTGGGTATACATAAGGGCACACACCCACTTACTTCTCAAACCCCCCATGTACAATTACCCAGTCTGCAAGAGAAAGACACGCTGGCTCTATAATTATCAGGTGTGAACTAAAAAATCATGCCCTTTTAAAAGCTTAGCTACATTTCCCAGCCACACTTTACCAACCTCAGAGCAAACTCCAAAGCAGTATGATGCCTGCTGCCTAGAAAGTCTAATAGCACAGACCAATGTGAAATCCACCTGCTGGAGACCCAAACAACATCAGTAATGCTGAGAGTGGCTGGGGGTGCGGGGGAGGGCAGGGGGTAAGAAGGAGTTAATTTCTTATTCTTTATTCCAACATGTCCCTGTGAGTTATACCTACAGAAGGAAAACATTACAGTTTCCTGCAGCCAACTTGTTTTTTCTACCTCCGTAAGTGTTTACTGTCAACTACCATAAGAACAAGCCCACCTAAAATCCACAAACTTACTCTCCAGGAGCCAGAGAAGAGCCCTAAGATGCCTCCACAGAGTTCATATGGTTGGCCAAAAGGCCATGCCCTAAAGACTCCTTGGAGATCTCCTGTTTATTCAGTCCACTGACTTTTTTGACATAAAATTCTAAATAGCCTGTTTGATTTTCAAAGTTTACTGATCAGACTCAGGAAATTTCTACCTGGAGACAAATCAAAGGCACTTGGGGACAAAAAAGGGCTGTAGGTATGTGTGTGTGTGTGTGTGTGTGTGTGTGTGTGTGTGTGTATATATATATATATATACACACATATGAAGAGAAGAGAAGAGAAATAAAGAGAAGTACATGAGCCCATCACTCAAAGTGGGCCTTAAAAAGACAGTGTTACTGGTTGAAAGGCGAGAAGAGACTGGAGCCAAGTAAAAAAGAAGGCAGAAACAGGCAACGTGCTCAGATCAACAGGAAAAGAACCAACATGAAATAGCCCAGCGGAGAAAAAGAACATGATTCTCACAGCTGCTAGAATAGCACCTGAGGTTTGTTTTGGGCTTAGGCATGTAGGCTCCAAGTCTAGCTTCACCTGCTTTATTTTATTCAACACTTTCGACTACCCTGTGAGCTGGGTACTATGTCCATTTTATAGATAAACTTATAGGCTTGGAGAGTTAAAGCCAAGGTTACTTGGCGAGGAAAGGGCATACCCAGAATCAAATTCCAGGTCTGCCTGGTTCCAAAGCCTGTCCTGGAGTGGAAAAGGAGAGAGGAAGAGAGAAAAGAAAAATGATGATACTATTTAATATGCCAGGTACCCACCATGCCCCTGACTCTGCATCTATCACTGCTCTATGAGGGACCATGTCACCCGAGCACAGCACCTGGCCCAGGTCTATACTTTCTGCCTCTAATTAATGAGTACATGTGTCTTTCCATAGTACAATTCTATAATGTAGGTACTGTTTTTCTCATTGCACAGCTGAGGAAAACACTATTCTTTAAAGCATTTGGTATAAAATGGGAAGGGAAAGAACATCCCCAGAGAAAGATAAAACCAGGAGTTATTCTGACAGGCCAAACGACTGCCCTTGTCAAAACAACTGATGAATACTGGGAAGGAAAATAAAGCAGAACTATAGGATGTAAAATAACAGACATTTTGTATTATTTCTTTTTCTTCCCTTTAATATTTGCCATAACATAACTTGCAGTAAGATAAGCAAAGGAAACATCTCTCTTTGCAACAAAATTTCATTTATGGACCAAATTCCTAAAAAGTTTACCCATGACAATGATGCAATGCATCATCACTTGAAAGAAAAGAGAGAGAGATTCAGGGACAGAGAGAGACAGAAAGAAAATAAAACTAACAATCCAGAAAATTAGGCAGCTCATTATGTGTTCTCTTCCAAATTTTGCAGAATCACACTTAAAGTGACAGATGTGAAGAGGAAGGAGGTTCACACTCAGAAAGGCAGGAGAACTATTTTGGGGACGTTTGTTAGAAGAGGTGGCAAAGAGCCTGAGAACTAGTGCACAGTCAGAGCTTTGGCATATCCATTCATTCATTCATTCATTCATGTACAAATGCATGCATGCAACAAACATTTACCACATCCTGACTATCAGCCTGACTCACCAACAGCAGCTGAAGATACTGTGGGGAGTCAGACATAGTCCCTGCCTTTAAAAAGCTCACAACCTGCTGGAAAATTTCAGGCAAGTAACAAGTTAATTGATTCTACCCTTAGTAGAGTATATCCGAGGAATTCTAGGAACTCAGCCTAGGGCAGCAACAGTCAAGGAAGGTTGCTCAAAAGTGACATGTGATTCCTGAAGGGGGGGATAACCAAGGAAAGAAGTAGACGGTCAGAGAGGTTGTCAGGGATAGGACTTAGCAGGCCATGGTGAGATCTTTCCATTTTATCCCAAAGAAAATGAAAAGCCATTCGATGTTCATTATTAGGGGAATTACATGTCCAGATTGGCATTAAAAAAAAACCTCGAGAAAATTACAGATTACAGACTGGAAAGAGGTTTAGATTGAAGAAGAGGAGGTAAGTCAAGAGACTACTACAGTTGTTCAGGCTGGAAATATGGAAACCTAAACCAAGGTTGAGATTGGGGAAAATGAAAAGGAAGGAACTGAGTCAAGAGACACTTGGGGGAAATAATCAGCAGGAACTGGGGACCAATTTGGACAGAGGTTATGAAGAGTCGTGGGTGACCTCAAAGTATATGATTTGGTTGTGGTGAGCCTGGGATATTGGAAACATTCCCTAAGAAAGGAACACAGGATAAAACTGGGGGGAAGATGACAAGTTCTGACTTGGATATTTTGAGTTTAAAGTGTCTTTGTCTGGTGAGAGCTTCTAGTCATCTGTGGCCTCTATATCATACTCACCGAGTTATCTATTGCTACATAAGAATGTCATACACATTTAGTAGCTTCAAGAAATATATTTGTCTCACAGTTTCTGTGGGTCAGGGGTCCAAGTGTATT